ATTTTGAATTAATCAAGCATTTAATCCCATGATGCACGAGATCGATCAAAGCCATGGATTGGCTATCATACTCCGCCAGATTTCCAGTAGTAGAGCACAGTTTGCATTCCTTTGGGGAAACACTTAGAGAACATTTCCAGGATCGGATGACGCGTCTTATGGAATGACATGGCTTGACCTTTTCCGGAGAAGACTGCTTGCTCTGACAGCTGATGGAAGAGAACAAGGATAACGAAATTCGTCTGTCTCCGACTACCATTAGTTATATGACAACTCACATACACATAGTTAACTATCTAAGTATACAAGAGTCCCTGTAGTAGTGGGTCTATACTCCGTAGTTACGAAGGACGATGAAGGATGGAGTGTTACGGAGTAACTGGCTACAGACGGAGTACATTTTTGATTAGTTACATAGTTACCATAATGTAATTGCAAAACATAGTTATTGAAATGGAAATAACTACCTTGGAAGCAAATGCTCCGCTTTTACTCTGTATACAGCCTCGATTCTGGGATGGAGATGGTGAGAAACGATTAGCATTTGCGGTGTTCCATGTGGGAAATGGTGGATCTGATTGGCGGACACTGTAACTAAGTACGAGAATGTATACGAAAGCGAAAGACAATTGCAGGCGCAAAGTATATAGCTGCCGTTACCATCCGATATCTCCGAATCTCACCTCCGAGCATGATTGGTCCTTCAAGCTCGCTTAATAAGAGTAACCTTATCTTTATACTTTAACTATCGCACGGTCCACTTAATTAGGTTGCTTACTAACAAACGGGGCGGCCTGCACGTGCTTGCCACTTAAATAAGCTCGGCGGCCGATCAACCAACGTCCCGTCCCGTCTTCATTCTTCAGCACTCCACGGCAATCATGATCGGTGTGCTCGCATTTTGGGGATCAGTTTATTTTACAGTCATACCCACCCCTTGCAAGCTCTCCCGCTCTTTCACATGGACCCGGAGGGGCTCTCCCTGCCACACACCATACTCGAGATGATCGTGAGGATCGACATTATCTGGCTGAGCTTCCAGATCAAAGTTCCACAGCAGGCGGGCCATGACCAGTCGAAGATTTACCTTGGCCAGGCTATTTAAGTTAGCTGCAGAGTAACTAGGCTGGGCTGGGTGCCACGTAGTTACGGAAATATATGCACTCACTTGATACCAATGCAGCTCCGCTGCCCGATCGAAAATGGTGTACAGACGTCGCGCTGATCTGACTCGAATGCAGGTTCTCCCAGCCATCTCTCGGGGATAAACTTCTCTGGTTCTCGCCAATATCGAGGGCTGCGATACGCTGCCACGGGTGCCACGGATACCCAAGTCTTACACGGCAAGTCAGCGTTATCACAGCATAACAAAGGAGATTGCCAATGCCTTAGTTAGCTAGAAGCAGATTGGCATGGATACGTACCTCGCCTGGTAGCCACCGGCCATCAATCGCGGCACCGCTCCGCGGGACAACTCGGTGTAGGCCCACGGGGACTGGCGGGTGGATTCGCATGGTTTCTTGAATAACTGCTCGAAGGTACTTGAGATTTGCAACCGATGAAACAGTGATTTCCTCTTCAGCCTGAAAAGTGCCCCGGACCTCATCAACTAGCTTTCGGTAGCTTTCTGGGTTATGCGTCAAGTAATATGTCATCGAGGTCATTGTTGCCGCAGTCGTGTCTCCCCCTGCGGCAACCAGAATATTCACATTATCTAGTAGTTCGGCTTCCGACATCCCCTTCAGAACGAAAGAAGCAAAGTCTGCCCGGCCGATGGAGTCGCCCTTCTGCCGCTCTAGAAGTGTCTTTCCAGCAAACTCCATGTGCGTATCGTAGGGTTCGCTGATCGCCTTTGGGATAAAGAGCTCGAGTAGTCGATGGTATGGTCGCAGCCGATGAGCCGCTTGGACATATTGTGAATGTTTTATTGCCCCAAAAATAACTGTCACCCAGGGATGATAATCCCCTTGATCTAGAGAACCCACTGTTGTACCAAAGGATAATCGGCTGAGGATGTCAAAGACGAAGAAATTGTACCATGCTTGGATGTTGACAACCCCGTTCGCATCTGGATAACAAGCCTTGCCGGACCGCTCGCGCATCTCATCAATGAATTTCGTTACGTACTCCTGGATGACTGGCTCCTGTTCTCGAATAGCAGCTTCTGAGAAAGCTGGCGCTATCATCTTGCGATACCGTGCATGTTCACGATGACGAGCGAAGAAGATGTTATGTGCCTCTCCAGAGCCCTGTAACCAGACGACTGGGTTCTTCTCGAAAACGGTCTCCTCCGTTGGCCGACCGCCAAAGATGGTTCGGTTGGCTGATGCACTGGTGTAGGAAATCTCGCGAGGGCCAACCCGCACGATCTCACCGTATTTTTCGTGTAGCTTGGCGATATATTTGGAATTTTCGCCCTTAATCATATGGTAAACGTAAGGGAGCTGGGTAGCAGCATCGAGGATGGGCCCGGGGTACTTGCGTAGAGGATGAAGGAAGACATTGTAGATTGCGAGAAGGATATGACACACGATCCACTGGACGAGCAGTTAGCTTGAGGAACTCTCGAAAGTGGTATGAGGGGCTCTAACCAGTGCAGCTGTTAGACCAAGGAGCTCAAAAGGAGACATTTTGATGAGTTGTGCAGTGGATGAAGTGGTAAAAAGAAGAGTGCAGAGGACGAATAACTAACTATTTATAAGAATAAATCTTCCTTGTTTGAAGTGCATAACTAATTAGTCTCTCCTCCAACGCAGGTGTCCTAAATCCCCTTCTAATTGCCTATTGGCTGCTAGATTAAGAACCCCCTGAATCCAGTATCATAAAGAGACGGCAATAATGTATTCCATTATCTGCTAGGGTAAATATGTGCCTGATGTACCTCGTTACATAGGTCTATTATTTTTATACTTCGCAAACGAACAGAATAATCAATGTGACCAACTGTTATCTAGTGTATTCCCGAAAATGAGATAACAACTAAAAACATCTCTGCCTTATATAAAATGCAATTTGAACCAGTCCTTTGCAGTCGTCAATTCCTGCTGGTTCTTTGGTCTACCCAATGCTGTAGCTGTTGCACGTTTCAATTCTGAGGCTGTATCCCTATTTGAGGGCTCCGGGCCAAAATAACGACCACCTGTGATTTGCGTAAACCCGAACATGAGCTTGACATCCTCTAGCTCGTGGACTCCATGGGTTTCAAAGGCTTCCCAGGAAGGGAGAATTGGCTGGAATCGAGTCTTTTTACCAGTTACTGTTAAACGGTTAACATGTATATCACTCATATTATCAATAGTAATTTCACTCACAGTCTGCAAAGTTGGCCACCAGCTCGTCGAAGCCAAGCATCTCACTCATAGCTTGAACAACATGACCATTCCATCGGACTGGATCCAAAAAGATACCCTGAACAATGTCCCCGTAGTCATCGGTAATACTCAAGAACGGCACCTTGTTATCTCCTCCCCAGTTGGGCACACGATACGTGAGGTAGCCTTCGTCATCTGGAAAATGGGGGAATCCGCCAAACACTGGGGCAACCTCCTTCACAAGAAAATTTTCCAGGTACCATGCGGCATTGATAGGGGTAATGGTTAGGAATTTTCCCAGCTGCTTTGCATACTGCTCGATTTTGTATTTCACTGCAATGATGCCTATTAACACTAAAACAACCAATAAGGGGGTTATACTTACTATCCATAGCCTTCATTCTCACCCTCCCATCTGTCATCTCCGTGCACGGAGGGCCCGAACTGAACACAAAATGCTTCACACCAGCCTGGGCCGCTGCATCAACAATTGATTTACCTAAATCAAACTCGGTAGGGCCATCGGGGTTGCTCCATATCTTATCGTCCGAGTTTAGATTAACATAAAACCCCCAGGCGCCATCAAATACCCGAAGCATCTCCTCATTATTGAAGCCATTTGCTTGAACCACTTCTGCTCCTGCTGATGCTAAGGTTTGGCTGGCCTTTGAAGAGGGATTCCGCGTGATGGCGCGGACTTTAAAAGACTGATTCTGAAGTAGAGAGCGAGCGACAGAACCTCCTTGGTTGCCAGTGGCACCAACGATAGCAATAATGCGCGACATTCCCAGGTAGTTGTGGCTTTAGTTGTATAAATTAGCTGGCGTAGATTGCTGTTTCTCAAGAGGAAGAGCAAGTTGTTTCAACGTGTCGAACGTGAATGCTTACTCTATAAAACTAATTTGATCCGATATGATAGCCGATTCTTTCACAGATTAGATTATCTCAAACTTAAGCGCCCCACTTCACGAGTCAACAAATTTCCGGTGTCCAGATCCCTGTATTCTCTCACGGAGATCCATTCGGGCCGCCACCTCGTAAAAATACTGCAAGGGGATGCGTAACATTTAAACTCTAACTTAGAACTAATTAAGGTTTAGCCGCCAACGCGGGAAGTGGGTCCTTAAGGTTTTCCCCTTGTAAGATTCCATATGGCTATTACCGAACGGTCAGACCGAGACTCCTCTTGGTAAGTGCTCCGTGTCAACAACACTCTAGTTACTATAAACAAGAGCCGAACTATGGAGTTTCTCTTCATAAACGAGGTCGAATTTTTGAGTACATTTAAGTTTGACGGAGCCCTTCCCGTATTTTTAATACCTGGCCCAAGATCAGCTATTGCCTCAGCGTGTAAATTACGTGGAAACTGAATCCTGCCCACTCACAGTATCACGCATGTTGAAAGTGGACAAAGGTACGACACAGAGTAAACCTCTTTGCTTTGCCATGACATCAACGTGTAATTCCGGCTTTGGCCAATCCGTGGTCTCTCAATTCCAGTATGAAACACTGTCGTTTTATATTTTGCATTGGCCCGATCTACACACCCCTTTACCTACAAACTATTTAGTGCCTGATTGAAACTCCCTTTTATCTACTTTGATTCTTTATTACTGAGTTTTCTCCAACACACCGTGCCCTTTCCAATTCAACATTGTCATTATCCCTGGGCAGGTATCATTAGATAGAATGCCTTCCATCGCTTCATCCCCTTCCGAGGAATACGATTTCGCCGTTAGCCGGAATCAAGGCCTGGGTCAGCTCTTCTATGGCCAGGTGCGACGAAATGCTACTGCAACTGCAGTTGTTGACGTGGGAATCTCTCTCACATATGACCAATTGCATTTACAAGCCTCGTATATTGCTCATCAACTGCTACAAGAATCGTTCGCTTTCGAAGAGCCAGTGGGAATAGTCGTTCAGCATGGCGTCAACGATATAATTGCCCAGTTAGCTATCATCTATGCTGGCGGGAGCTGTGTCCCAATGGATCCAACGCTTCCAGACCAACAAATACAGGGCCGGTTGCAACGACTGAACACCCAATTTCTGCTGGTTGACCAAAGCAATAAAGATCGAGATCTTCCCTTCCGCAAATTTGCTCTCGAAGGTCTCGTGGCTGTGGCCAAGGACAAATATCCAGTTTCAACAGACCTAGAACATCGCACACATTTGATTCATACTTCTGGGACAACCAGCGAGCCGAAAGCAGTACAGATCGCAGCTCGGTCAATTTTACAGGTTGTCTTCCATGCTCCTTTTGAGCCAGTGAGGGAAAATGATGTCGTTGCACACGTCAATAATAGCAGTTTCGATGTCTCTCTTTTTGATGTGTGGGCTCCTTTACTTCGTGGTGCTTCTATTGCGGTTCTAAGCAAAACGGCTCTGCTGGATCTTCCAGTTATGGCAGAGCATATCGATCGGCTTGGAATTACCGTGATGGCCACCACAACTGCCTTGTTGAATCTTGCTGCTTCTACCTATCCGCGTGCCTTCTCCAAGCTATATCTGCTTTATTGGAGGTGAAGCTGCAAATGTCGCCGCCATCAAAACGATCTTCGACGAGGGCCCTCCAGAGATGCTGATAAATGCCTATGGACCAACAGAGTGTTGCATCTTCTGCTTGACTCACCAGATCGTTCCCGAGGACATCAAAGTTGGCTCCGTCAGCATCGGCAAACCGATTGGTCACACGATTGCATATGTAGCTGACGATAATGGTAACCCAACTGATGAAGGCGAGCTCTGGATTGGCGGCGCTGGTGTTTCCCCGGGATATGTCAACCAACCCGAGAAGAATGCTGCTTCCTTCACAACGGTTGAAGATTTAGTGACAGCATCAGGTGATCCCATCAGGTTGTACCGAACAGGTGATATCGTCCGACGTCGGCCAGATGGACAGATTGATTACGTTGGGCGCTCTGATCATCAGGTCAAGATCCGAGGATTCCGAGTTGAATTGGGCTCGGTCGAAGCCGGGCTCCTGAAAACTGGCTTTTTCTCCGATGCCGTGGCGATGAGAATTGAACCACCCCAGGATGGGGCCGGTTCAATACTAGTCGCGTATGCTGTACCTGTGGACAGCTCTAAGCCTGTGGGGGTTGAGGAGGCATTGGCAGTCCTTCGCACGATTCATCCGGATTATATGATTCCTCAGCTGCAATTGATCGCCAGTATGCCTCTCAATAGCCACTCCAAAGTGGATAGAAAAGGGTTAACGGAGCTGTACTGCAAGCGATGGAAGGTGGATTCACTATCAAAGCCGAAAGATGGGCCCAAAGACACCCGTTCGATACTCGCTGACCTTTGGGCTTGCATTCTTGCATCCCCTGCCGATTCATTCCAGGACGACGATAATTTCTTCAGCCATGGAGGAACATCGCTTCGAGCGTCACTGTTGATCAGCCAGATCCGTCGCACATTTGGCTCCGAAGTGTCTCTGCTGACTCTCTATGATAACCCAACCCTGGAAGCCCTGACATCAATTATCCAAGAGCGCCAGAACGGCCAATTCGAGACAGTTCGTAACGAGAGTGACTTGTGGGTAGCCGATACAAAGATTGCGGATGGCCTCTCTTGCACAGCAGGGCTGGCAATCGACTGGACTCGTGACACTGAAGGTCGTATCTTCTTAACTGGAGCCACCGGATTTGTGGGATCATTCATGTTGGCAGATTTGCTACGCATGCCCCATGTCCGTCAGATCGGGTGTTTGGTACGTGCAAAGGACGCAACAGTTGGTCTACAGCGTCTGCGCACCGCAATGGCCAAGTATGATCTCTGGGAGGACAAGTTCTCTGAAAAGTTGTTAGCTCTGCCTGGTACACTGGAGGATGACTTCTTAGGCATGGGACCAGACCGGTTTGAGGAGATTGCCAATTGGGCCAGCGTAGTATTCCATCTAGGAGCTCGCGTCAATTATACTCAGCCATACTCTCTGCACCGCCCTGCCAACACGTTAGGTACCTTGAATGTTTTGAAACTGGCATTCAAAGGGCGGACAAAAGCGGTACACTATGTATCAAGCATCTCCTGCTTCGGACCAACTGGCTTTGTGACCGGCGTGAAAAGAGTACGGGAAGATGAATCCCTACTGCCACACCTCGAAGCCCTCCCCTATGATCATGGTTATGCTCAAAGCCAATGGGTCGCAGAACAGCTCTTACGCCGACTCATCGATCGTGGATTTCCTATTGCCGTTTATCGACCAGGATTCATTACTGGTCATAGTCGAACGGGTGCCTGCAATCCGGATGATTTCTTTAGCCGGTTGATTCATGCATGTCAGGAGATGAATTGCTACCCACAGTTGCCGAACCAACGCAAGGAATTCGTCCCCGTTGATTATGTCAACTCTGTAATCTTACATATTGCCTCATCACGGTCATCTCTAGGCCATGCCTATCACATTGTCCCCCCTAGTAGGGAAACCTCCATTGATATGGATGATTCAATGGACATGGTTGGTGAGTGCGGCAGTGGTCCAATGCTGGGCGTTTCGTACGCGGAGTGGGTTAAGCGACTATCCGCAAATCCACCTAAACGTCTGCAACCACTGGAGCCTATGCTTGCAGAGAGGGTGAAGAACGGCTTGACCCGATGGGAACTTTACGAAAACATGCCCGTTTACGAGACAACCAACACCATGGAAGCCCTTGCAAATTTCCCCGGTGGTCTCGAGTTTCCGATTCTAGACAGGGACCTGATGAAGAGATATTTGAATCATCTCCAAGTGAAAATGGAGCAATGAGTGAATGAGGGCAGAAGAAAGTGATATCGTTAAATTTGGACATCACATGGAGTTGAATCTTTGATGTGATTCAAGGGATGTTGGAGGAATTCATGTAAAAGGATTTGTTGTATATTTTTGGTAGACGTCTTGCGACGCTTGATATAGATTTTCAACTTTATGTTTCTACAAAAATGGGAATACGTACTCCATTTAGCATCGTACTGCAGCTGAAAAAGGCTCTGGTTAGTCCCCGTATAAGGGCTTCAAATAAAGCTGTAATCTAGCCAACAAACGAATTACTATTCTAATTTCAAAATGTCTCATTTTGCGATTTAACAGCCCCATTGCCCTCTACTGTAGTCGTAGCTATTGTTTGTTAATGAGCTAGTTAACTACTTATTCGACAATAAATTCTAGGATAGTGACCACACTTCCGTCTGGACATGTACTTCCTTTCAATTTCAATCTCCCATCCATGCTGCCCAAAATACCTGCGTAATCCTGAGCCGTCCTCTCTCTTCCGGCCAGTAATCCAAACATAGTTACGTCCATATTGCGCACAATGCGTTCCACGTAGAGTGGCACAGTTCCCTTTTCAGGAACGACATGCTCGATAATCAGCACCCGAACACCGGGCTTCAGTACTGGCAGCAAACCACCAATTATGCGTTTGGCCTCCTCATCAGACCAGTTGTGTAAGATGAAGCGCAGAATATACGCATCCGCCTGCACAGGTTGGGGCTGGAAGAAATCGTGCTCGATGAACTCAATGGCCTGGCTATACTGTGCAGGAAGCTGCTGACGGGAGGTGGCGATCACCTCCCCTATATCCTGAACGGTTGATTTAATGTGAGGGTAAGAGTTGACTATTGCCATGCTTACATGTCCTTCGGAGCCACCAACCTAACATTAATACCAATTAGAGTGTGGGCTTCTGATAATAACTTTTCGAGACACTCACATCAACAATTGACTTGACCTGATTCCAGTCGAAACCTCGGGCTACATGTTCACACGAGTAGATTGAAGTGGAATGTGTGGCAGCCATGGAATTATGGAACCGAACCTCCTCTTCCGGGTGATCGCGGAGGAAATCCCACATGGTGCATAACTTCTCCGCACCATCCAAAGATTGGGCGAAAGCAACGCTGAGGGGCGTCCTTGATGTATCAGTCCCTGCAGGGTTGAGCTTGAGAGCTTCTACAATCTTCACCGACGCCGGGTTTGCAACATTGAGGTTTGATAGAATGCTATCAGTAGTGTTTTGATCACGTACGCAAACAGATGAAGCCGAGTTGTGGCTGATCTGGCCGGGCGTCTTTTCGGATAGAAAACCGACGGCGATAGAATATCGAACGAGACGAGTAAACAGCTGCTCTTCAACTTGGGCATACTGGGCTAGAGAGCTGAGTGAAACAGATCCATCAAGAGGGATTTGCTGGGGAACCCCGAGTTTTATCATAGCTCCAATGGTGTTGAGTTCAAAGCCCTGACTAGCACCGTCAGCTCATTCTCTTTATGTGTCTCTCGCTGGTTCACTCCATCGTAAAATGTAGCTAGTTACCTGCAAGCTTAGATTTGCTAGAAATTCCGATGGGCCACTAGCCAGCCGCACAATATCTAGTGCAGAGGATATGAGCTCAAACCGAGCGCGAGAGCCCTCGGGGCTGAGGAGGGGAAAGGAAATGGGGAACGATTCATCGTCGAGAGAAGGTAGGCCCTTATCCCGAAGCTCCGCAGAAAGGATGCTTGCGTTCAAGGCAACTGATTTGGAAAGTTCGTCCATTCTGTTTTTGCTCCGATTCTTACAATATCTTGTTGTTTTGTACTCGTACTCCGTACAGAGTGTAGGCTCTCCTCGTTATACACCACGCAACGGCAGAGCCTTGAACATAAGTATAGCCAGTTATTTACTCGCGTCATACTCCGTCCCAAAAGTAGGTTAGTTCCCCACTTGTAAGTTAAACTTCAGGAGAAAATATAGAGTTTATGTAAACCTTAAGTTCGTTTAACTCTAATTGAGTAAACTCTGTATTAAGTGGGTCTTCTATGTATTGTAATTTACGCACGCTGCAAGTTGTAAACGTTATCATCGTAACCGACAGTTTCTTCACTTTCATCCACTTTGCTCACTTCCACGATCCGTAACCCTGCCGCTTCAATTGCAGTCGAGAATTCGGGCTTTGTAAACCAGCGCAGTGAGTGTCTGACCCGATGGACCTCAATTTCCTTGTCTCTGCCATCATCCAGCTGCTGGAAGACCTGTACATCTTCCCCACAGACGCACAGTTTGCCCTGGCAATCCATCCGGTTCATGGTAGTATGGTACCGAAGTCCAGGAAAGTCGACACTCTGGACGTCCTCTAGCGGTGGCAATTCCTCGCTCTCAGCTCGAGCCTTCATATCCTCCCCTGGATTGAGGAGGAACCAATCGGCAAGGCCTATGCAGGCCCGTCCCGTGCCTGGTGTGAGCACTTTACTGACCTGCAGGAAAAACTGCGCGAACTCCCCATCCCGCTCCATATGGTACACGCTATTAAAGGCAAAGACAAGGAGATCGATAGTTATATGCTTGTCTGATAGCGGCAAGAGGGTGGGAAGCTCGTCGAGTGCGAGAGCGTTGCCTAAAATCCAGGTAACAGGGGGAGTACTCCGTATTGTTGTTTGTCTTTGATTCTAGCTTAGCCGCTAAATCCAGCATGTGCTGCGCGTTGTCTAGTCCGATCATTCGAATGCTACGAGTAACGAACGAGGCGGCTGCGGCACGCTGTAACAGACCGATCGGCACACGACCGGCACCAGTTCCGACGTCGAGAACTGAGAAGGGCTTGTCTGGCGCCGCTTCTCTGTGTTGGGTGACTGCATCGGTGAAAATTTTCCAGTATATACCCATGCCCGGCATGCTGGGTTTGCCCCACTTGAGATTGTAGAACTCTACCATGTATGGTGAGTCATAGTAGCTCGATCCCTCTTGGGCCATGGTTGCAGCAGGGGCTGGTGTTGTATAGATGTCCGGTTGGATAGACATGGTGAGAATGGAGTTCGGAAACACGTTAGTTTGATGGAGAGACGAGAATTCAACGCATTATATATATGGAGTATATAATACATACTCCATATGCAGAAACGGAATGCAAACGGAATGCAGCACCCAGCCGCCATTACCACCCCCTTGCAAGAGTGCAGAGTCAACAAGTGGACTTAAATACCAACGACGAATAGTTACCGTAACGTTCGCTGTTTTACTAAAACCCTGTGCCAGTGCTGAATAAAGTTTCTCAAAAATTGGTCCTCGCATTAACTTTGCACATGTCAAAAAACTAACCTTCTCCATAAAAGCTCCTGAGGTGTCGTTAAGATAATCCCTGTACTATAATAATACTGATATAAGATAACTACCTCGTACTTTCTCCATACGTGTGAAGAATGGCCGTCATTATCAGAGAGTGGACCAGAATACGGCAGTTATTTGAACTTACATACTTTACATTTGAACATGGGAGTTATACATACATACGCTCCGCGGCAAGTTAAAGCGACAGCAAATTAATCAAGCCTGACGATCGGGTCCGTTATTCTCGTCACCTTCCTCTACCTTTGACAGCGTACCGCTCCAAAGGCCCATAGGTAACGCGCACAATGCACTGGCAACCCCAAAAAAGAGCGTCATCCCGCTCCACCCTGTCCGAACCTGCAGAGACCCTGCGACAACTGGTCCCAACATTTGCCCACTTGCGTAGGCCATGTTGAAAAGTGCGTAAGCCTGAGCCATAGGGGGTTTTCCATCCAAGATACCCGGAGATTGGGCCTCGTAATCAATGACCACTTGAGAAACTTCAGTCATGGCAATGATCTGGATTACCGTTATGCCGAGGCCGACAATTGCCAACAGGCCGCCCATGAGAACTTTCTCGGGAATTTTATTACGCAGAATAAATCTCAGGGAAAAGAAAGCCACTCCTGTCACTGCAAAGGCCAGGGATCCAGGGCGTCATGCTCCAAATCGGTCCACTAGACTTCCCATAATGGATCCAGACACCGTCTCTGTGAGAGAGACAGGAAGAAAAAAAATCAACCCAGCGCCGCTCGGAGACCAGTGGAATCTGTCCATGACAAAAAGTGGGACGGTCTATTTTAAATTAGCACGAAATTCTGCGTTATTATTATGGGATTTTCGGTTCCCTACTGTCTCCAAACTCGACAGAACCAAACAATGCATCGCCGCAGAAATCAGAGCAACGAGTAGACGAGAAGAGCGCATGAGGAGAAGCACACTCGACTTCGGGCCATCGTTGGCCCCAGGGTGCTGAGCCAATAGGAGAGGCGCCTCTTCATCTGTCTTCCTTTGGTTGTTTGGATTGAGATTGGCGTCTGCTGATGTGCCCTGGGCGTTTCGTGCTGCATCCTCTGCCCCAGAAGACTCACACTCAAGCGATTGTTTAGTAACTAAGACCATCAGTAGACGGTAGGCAGAAAGAGGGAGAAGGGACAATATACCAGACTGCTCAATCAAGGCAAATCGCAGTATGGTATCTAAAATAATCAGCAGCGTGGGGAAAATAAAGACATCATAGTACCCCAAAAGGTCATACGATACTCCCCCGAGCATCGGTCCAAAAAGGCCACCCATTGTCATACTAACGGTTGTATAACCCATAGCTTGTCCAATGCGTTCCTGAGGAATGTTTTCGACGAGTAGCACTAGCCCAACCACCCAAACCGCCGTACAAGAGAGACCTTGAAAGGCCCTGGAAATAGCCAGTACTGAAGGTGTGCGTGCAACTGCAAATAGAATTGTCGACGAGCATAGTGATACAAGTCCCAGGGTAAATGGAAGCTTCCGCGATCCGAAGTGGTCGGAGCGGTACCCAAAGAGAGCTATTGCTAGGTTAGAGTCCATGACGTCGTCGATGTTGTATACTCCAAAGGAACGTACAAGACCCCAATAGAAGCGTAGCACCGTATGCAGCTAAAAGTATCGATACCCAAAACTGGACTGTAGCAGCTTTGGCATCTAATCTCTGAGCCTCAAAAAGGGATTGGAGAGTCCATACCATCGCCTTGCACTACTCCCGCACGTGAAACCAGGGCCTTTGGGAAAACGGGTATAATCTGGAATCGTCAGATAAAAATCTAGGTTGCTACCGACGACCCAAAACCTACCAAGGAATAAAGCAGGGTGTCCTATAAGCAGTCAGTTATCGTATCCCCAGAATCGTTCGGTTCCCGTACAGTAAACATGGCAACATTGATCACGAAGATGATAAATGGTTCTGAAGACTGTAGCTTAAAGCCATGGCTCCCGTGAATTTAGGCCCATCTCTGAAGCCACTCGATTCAAGCAGTATTATTCGAAGAAAAGATGGACGTAGAAGAAGAGGGTGGCTGGACTTGAAACTCTTTACTCCGTACTTATTATATATATGCTTGCCAATCCCTAGGCTTAACTAGAAATCGAATTGGCAATGAGGCCAGGGGCTTGCTCCGTATGATGCTTATACAGATGCTTTAACGAAGAAAAGAGCCAATTTTTCGCTTGTCGCAGCTGCAAAGGCGGTTTGAGCTTGTCAAGTTGCTCGTTAACTGCAGGAGGTAGTTAGCGCTACTGGTATTTACCTTGCATTTACTATTATTCTGAGTCAAAGTCCTTTGAGAGTGCAGTACTGTAGACAAAGTAGTTAAGTAACTATGCTCCTCCCAGGAGAAAGAGTCTAGGGTGGGCAGCGGGTGGCTACAGACTCGCTGTTTAGCCGGTCCAAGAGGCTGAGAGATGATAATGGCAGTTGAACAACCTCTTCATGTAGTTTGCTTTTCTGGAAGGGGGGGAGTACTTCCCGGCTTTTATGCAAGGACCAGGTAATCGCCTGCCTGCAGAGATATAATATAAGTGGTTGATTACTCTTTCTTTCCACCTACTACTTCATTATCCCTAGGCATCTTGCAGAACGTGTACCTCTAGTGTATCCTGTGTCAAAGACTATTGCAGCTTTTTGATGCAGAGTAGCAATAGAAACTGGCTCTAAAGATCTCAGGTGACATATAAAGCACCACTAGGAAGCAGCACTATGTGATAGTGTCCTCTACCTCAACATCATTGTTGATGAATCTGCCTAGCTCAAACAGAAGGGAGATTGCATCCCTCTCCTCTCCAGACTTTTTTGGTTAACAATACGGGCTGACCAGGTAGGGATCCCATCCTGATGGCGATGGCACTGGCACAAACAATCCAATCTTCGGCTCGAGAGAGGCCTGTGGTCATAGGATTATACGGAGTTTCTGGCTCTGGGAAGACTACCCTGCTGAATCAACTGAGGAGGACCCTCAAGGATGATTTCCTGTTTTATGAAGGCTCACAGGTTATCGATGAAGTAACCCCTGGAGGCCTCGCCCAGTTCAAAGCTTGGAGCAGAGAACGACAGATGACATCACGGAAAGCGGCAATTGACTCGATCCGGATGGCGTGCATCCAAAGTGGAAAGGCAGCTATTGTCTCTGGCCATTTCAGCTTCTTCGAAGAAAATGACGGCAAAGTTGGGCCCCCGGTGATTACTAGAGATGACCTCGACACATACACACACATCCTATACTTGAATGTTCCGACTGAGGTATTATTTGAGCGCCGTGCTTTCGACTCGACTCGGGATCGCCCTTATATCAGCACAGAGGAGCTACATATGTGGCAGGAGATGGAAATATCACAGCTTCGTCCACTTTGCCTCGAGCATGGTATTTTGTTCATGTGTGTGGCACCTGGACCGGATATGCAGAGCAGAGTAGCGAACTTGTTACATGAGTTCCAACTAAATAGCAACAGCTTCAATCTGGAGCGTGCCAAAGCATGTTTAGACGTCATTATTGGTGACAAACAGCCCTTGATAATGCTTTTCTTGGATGCAGATAAGACTTTATCAGAAAAAGATACCGGGGCATTGTTCTGGGAAAAGGCTGCCTCATCGAAGGTCAAAGGTGCCTCATTAAAGGATATTTTCAGCAGCAAATTAGGGTATTCATATGCTGCTTTCTGCCAGGCTGCCCTGCTCTATGAAGAGTCAGGCAATGACCAAGAGTTTGATAGGATTTGCAGCGAGGTGGCTGCAGGGGTATCCATGTATCCTGAATTTGTTTGTCTACTCCACCGTGTAGCGGAACAGGAGCATCTTCGAGCTGTTGTCATTACATGTGGCATAAAACGTGTGTGGGAGAAGGTGTTGGAGAAAGAACGGTTGTCTGGCATCGTGAAAATAATTGGAAGTGGCCGGATTGCCGATGGCCCGGTCATTACGGGGCGTGTGAAAGGGGAATTGGTCAGCTATTTGCAAAGCAAGTACCATATGAAGGTCTGGGCATTTGGTGACAGTCCGCTAGACATGGAAATGCTGAAGCTTGCAGACAGAGGTATCGTTGTGGTTGGGCCGGAGGCAACCAGAAGTAAGTCCATGGATGCTGCCTTGGTTGAGGCTATCGAGTGCGGCGGAGTCCGCCTGAAGCAAGTTGTTTTACCTCCCACCACACCAATGCGGCTTGATTTCAAGAGACTTCCTTCATTGGATATTACTGGCGCGGACTTCATGGACTTTGTTCCATTTCCTTCGCCGCCCTCCATTCAGCTAATTCATGCGACGGAAAAGAATGTAGCTAAATTGCTAATGACCCAAATGCGAAATGCAAATGTTGCTGGTCCGCATCTGTGCAGAGCCCATATGTCCGTGGGAAAGTACCTGGCAATTGAATTTTTGTCCGACGTTATTGGCGTTGAAGAGTATTCCATTCCACATGTTCTGGGCCATGAGACAAATGGTCATCATCTATACCACGAAAGTCAGACGCTGATTGTGGCGGTGATGCGCGCAGGAGAACCTATGGCTCGTGGAGTTTGGGAGAGCTTTCCCAAAGCATCTTTTCTGCATGTGAAATCTCCAGAAGATGTTAAGCCTCACCATGTACAGGGGAAAGTCACCATCATCTTGGTTGACTCGGTGATCAATAGTGGCAAGACAGTAGCCGAGTTTCTAGCACGGATCCAAATCTTACACTCTATCGTCCGCATTGTGGTGGTTGCCGGGGTCGTTCAGGCAGAATGCATCTCCAGACGAGCCCTCACGCAAAGGCTTCGCTACGGAGCAAAGGTGACTGTCGTTGCTCTCCGGGTATCACAGAACAAGTATACAGGCAGCGGCTCTACCGACACCGGAAACCGTCTTTTTAATACGACCTCCTTGCCTTGAGCATCTCCTGTAACTTGCTGATTAACTATGTTTCTGCAGGAGATCTAAAGAAATGTACTAATATCACCAGACTGAACGCCATAGATAATAAGTATCAATTCTTTGAAGCTTCCTTAGCTGCACACTGTAATGGAAAAAGTATTTCTTATAGTATAAACATGTCAAGACCGGTCGTGTTGATGTTAATGTCGATGTTGAAGTTGATGTTGATGTTGATGTCTTCACGTCGCGACGTCGAGAAAAACAAAAAGGCCCCGGGCCAAGTGTCCATCACGTGATAGCTTAGTCAACATCCCCGCTCGTCGCCTGATGCGGCTTAGCGCAATGCCGGAAGGAAGAAGAAAAAAAAGAGGAAGAAAAGCACGAGATGAAGCAGACGACAAGAAGACGACGACGACGACGAAGCGACGACAAGGAGAAGAAGAAGCACTATCCACAATCAAACAACGACCAACGGCCACTAAGCAAAGGACGTCGGTTAGGAGACCCGACATCTCGCTGATTGCCCCTTCCAAAGGATGCTGATGCATTGAAACGATGAAGTTCTTCGAGAACACTTTCAACTACGACTACTCCTTTCCGGCCGTTACGCTTGCATACTTCCTCCGGTATCCCAACCCTTACTCTCGCCATGTCCTAGCCTCAGACGTGATCGACCGGTATGTCGACCCGGTCACGAAACGACTGCACACGACGAGGCTGCATCTGAAGAAGTCCAAAGTCCCCTCGGCCATGCTGAAGCTCCTGCCCAAGGGAATTGGTGGCGCGGACAACTCGGGCCAGAGTGTGATTCTCGAGACCAGCGTCATTGACGTCAACGAAGGATGGATGCGGACAGAGTCTCGCAATATGGAGTGGACGGGGGTTCTCAGCGTGGTTGAAAGGCAGGAATACCATCGCTGTCGTGCTGAAAATGCAGATTCATCTGCCTCTTCTTCTCTGTCTGCGTTATCAGGCGGCCTAGGCATTGACGATAACCTGAAAGGCGAATGTACGTCGGTGAAAACCACGGTCACATTCAAGTCTCGCCTGGGCCAGAATATGCTTGGTCGATCGAAAAAGGATACCACCGTTGACGACGAGGCTCCCAAGAAAGGGTTCTTTGCTTCCTGGTCCACTGCCGGCATTCAACGGACAATTGAGCTCATTGGAGTGAAACGGACGCGAGATGCTGTTCTTCGCAGCAAACAGGGCATGAATGTTGTCCTCGAGAGGCTTCGGAACGGCGGCATAGTTGGTGTCGTGGAAGGCATGAGACAGGACCGAGAGGGCATCCCAGCCCACGGGGGCCCATGGAAGCAAGTCTGGCTAAACGGCACCCAAAAGGAAGGGCATTATGATGAGGAGTGATTGCTTCATGGCGCTCTCTGGCATCTGCTACGTCGATACCTGGATGTCTCTTTTTGGAACTCCTCTTTCCACCTCTCGTGGACCCTTCTACTGTATTATTTCCCCCATTATTTTTTGGCTTAGCATGGTGTTATTCGGTGTTTACTTTCCACGGACAATCTCCCGACTCTTCTCACAGCCATATTTCATTTGATCCTTCTATGCGAAAAAACCTCTTTCACACCCTTCGATTATTGACTTCTGGTGTTATATCGGCGCTTTCATGCTTTTCTTTTGACGAAATTCAGCCACGCAAAAACAAAACGAAAAAGTTGAGTTTCTGATAGGCAATATTTTCATGTACAATAGCCTTTATTCGGACGACTACGGCGTCGGTACTCAAATGTACCAAACCTGTTTTATTATGAGTGAGATTCAAGCACAAAATTAAGCTGATAACGTTATTTACGCGCTGATATACATCAATGGCCTTTCTAAGTCTCTAATTGACGTTTCTATAACGATCCGACTCTACCCGGTACTTAGACTGGAGGGGATGGAAGGCCAATTCCAACAAGAATGGCAGGCTGGTTGATATCATGATGATCATAGCTATGACAACCAAGAGTCAGAACTGTACAATCGAATGAAGGGCTATACGGCATTCAAAAACTTACCTGAGGACGCCAACGCCACCAGGTTCAAGCATCATAGCCAGCGGAAACTCAAGCGGAATATTCACCCATCTCTTAACAAAGGCACGCAGAAGATGACCGTGCGCAAACAAGACCACATCACACGCTTTCTCTCCGTTGATATTCGGACCCTGAATTCGACGAATTTCTTCGATCAAGCTGTCGACCCGCTCGGATACCTGCTCAGGCGACTCTCCTCCTTCACATCCATCCTGCCAAATATTCCAAGTTCTCTCCTTATCTAATCCTCGCTCCTTTCTCATTCTTTGTATATCAGCCGAAACTAAGCCCTCATAGTCACCATAATCCCACTCTGCCAACCTGTCGGTTCTCGAAACTCGGCCTTCCTCAGCCAATATCTTCCTATCGGCTTCTGAGATGGCGAGCTCAAAAGTCTGGTATGCCCTTTTGCGCGGGCTCACGTAGACGTGCGCGACCTTGGAGAGGTCTATCAGCTTGTTGGGACCGATGAGGATGCTTCCTGATGCCTGGATTTGCTGCATTCCTCGCTCCGTGAGCTCGATATCTGTTTTCCCCGTGTGCTGACCATTCTTGCTCCACTCAGTCTCTCCTAGACATCTGGTTTAATATCGGTTCTCATAATTGAGAGAGACTGAGGGAGTGAGCGTCGGGAGGGGACATAAATACCATGACGGCATATATATACACGAGGCGTTCCCGCGGACTTGTCAGACATCATCGAAGCGCTCAATACGTTGATAGCGCGTGTTATGTGAAGGGTGGCTTGAAGTAATTCTTCTGCGGACCTCGGGGGAAGATGGATGGAAGGACGATGGGCTATATAGTAGCACCCGACTCTAGTCAGGATTTTATAACACAAAATCTAAACCGGTTTGATAATCATTAGCTATACTCCCATTGTCTGAGCTTGCAAAAGATAAGTCCCTGGGCTGCAGCCGTTCCGTTACCGGCTTATCGGCTTTCCATCGGAACTGTTATATCGACAGTAATGGCTGGTAAAGCGGAAGCGGATAAGGACCATAGATAGGCTAACTACAATAAACACGACACATACCAGTTACTAATAGAAGTCACACAACTAAGTAAAACAAAGAATGTCCAGATCACGCCTTCTCCTCAGCGTATATATGACCCGACTTAACTAGCTGTGTAAAATCTCCGAAGATGGGACCAACTTCAGCTTCGTCGGCGTCCAACTTTATTGACGTCGCGGCAAATGATAAGCGCGGGGCTATGGTCATGTGACACGTCAAAACTCAAAAACGTCAATCGGCAAGAAGCGCTTAACTCTATGACTAAGAAGCAAGATTGACTCTAAAGAGGAAGGTAAGACGTCGTTAGCTGCAAAATATAGCGAGGTCCCTGGCCCCCTTGCGAACCTTGAGACTCCGTCGGCATCTGCGATTAACAACATCGTGAAGGCGAAACCTCTGCAACGACCAGCAGACATCAACCGCAATCGCTGGAAGAGCAAGCATATGCTAGCCTGCAGGTTGACTGGGGAATAGTCACACTGAACAAGATCCGAGAGACTGCGCACTGCCTGTTCGCCCCCGCCTAGCCATAATGGAAAGTCGTTGAGCGATCAGTTCAACAGCTTACTACGCGCATCACCCCCACCGCTTATCGAGTTTCAGTCAATGGAATCTGCTATGCCCTCGGTGTAGCGGCACCAGTTTGATAGACAACGCCATTTCCCCTTATCCGAAGACATCCGGTCATATATACTCTCCGTCACCATGTCGGCCGCCTTCGACGACGAAGACCTCTCGATCTCCCTTCCTTCGTACGAACAGAACAGGGATAGGAATCCTCATGGGCACCCGAGTATACCGCAGCAAGCTCCACGGCATGGAAACGAACGGCTTGACCAGTCTCCTGCCACTGCTCGAGACATGCAACGCCTCGATCAATATACTGCGGTGAGAAATCTGGGTGAAGGAACATTTGGAAAGGTGAAGCTTGCCACTCACAGAGCTAGCGGGCGGCCGGTAGCACTCAAGATTATACCGAGGCGGAAACTACAGTCAAGAGACATGGTTGGGAGGGTTGAGCGCGAGATCCAGTATCTCCAACTCTTAAGGCACCCTCATATTATCAAACTGTAAGTTGGAGTATCCGTCAGCGGCGTGACAGTACAGTAATATGCTAATGGCTGCCTCCTTTTTTTTTATTTCCTAACAGGTATACTGTAATCGCTACGAAGACGGACATTGTCATGGTTCTGGAGTATGCTAAACGGGAGCTATTTGACTATCTCGTAAAGAGAGGGAGGTGCAACGATGACGAAGCCCGCATCTTCTTCCAGCAAATTATATGCGCAGTGGAGTACTGCCATCGACATAAAATTGTTCACCGAGATCTTAAACCCGAGAATCTCCTTATCGACAAGGACAAGAATGTAAAGATTGCTGACTTCGGTCTGAGTAACATCATGACCGATGGGAACTTCTTGAAAACAAGCTGCGGTAGTCCCAACTATGCGGCTCCAGAGGTTATCTCTGGCAAGCTTTATGCTGGCCCAGAGGTTGATGTATGGAGCTGCGGAGTCATTCTTTACGTACTTCTGGTAGGGAAGCTACCCTTTGACGACGACTACATTCCATCTCTCTTCAAAAAGATATCCGCTGGAAATTTTTATATGCCATCATATATCTCGACGGGTGCTGCCAACCTCATCAGGCACATGCTTCAAGTTCATCCCGTACATCGAATTTCCATACCCGAAATACGGCAGGATCCTTGGTTTTTAAAGGGCCTCCCGAAATACCTGCAACCACCCGTTGAGGATTTTGTTGGCACTGGTGCAGATCCAAATAAAGCAATTGATCCACGCAAGATCGCACCCGGAAGATCTGCTGCTATACAGGAACGTATCCATGAGAATGCAGTTAACAAGCTTGAACGAAGAATGGGTTATGGCAAGGATGACATTCAGGACGCTCTGAGGAAGCCTGAGCCTAGTGCAATCAAAGATGCCTTCTTTATTGTCGTCGAGAATGAGATGATGCAGATGAATTGTGAGAATCGATCCCCTGCATACGGTATTATTCACATGTTTTACTAGTCTTTGCTTTGCTAACTTTAATCCAGCCCCGACTGAAAATGAGCCTGGCCAACCATCTGCTGCTCAATTAGGGGGTGGCCCATCACCATCTTACCGTCCAGGCCAAAGTCCTAACCCTGATTCCAGTGCTCAGAGCTCACCGCTTGCTCCATTGACGCCATACCAGCCACGCACTTCATCAAGCACACCATCCCAAACTCCTTCAGCTGGGGGCGGAGAAGACACTCAACGATTAAGCCACGTCCGCATTCTACCCACCAGTTTGCCATACGTACACGACCAGATAATGGAGCAACGAGCCGAGAAGAGCCTGCTTGGTGAAGATGAAGAAGAGGAATTATCAGCGGAAAACCGAGGTAGATCATTGCAGCCTGATGGCAAGGAATCCGAGAATGATATCAACAAAGAGCGTTCTCCCGAAGAACAGGCGGCAACTGCTCGGTCTCTTCGGCCCCATTCACGCAGCAAAGTTGATTTGGACAAGCTACAATACCAAAAACCAAGCACCACACCTGCTACAGCCCCTCCGCCAAAACGTTCTCGAAAATGGCAGTTTGGAATACGTTCTAGGAATCAACCATATGAAGCAATGCTGTGTCTTTACAAAGCTATTCGGGCGGAAGGGGGCGTTTGGGAAATCCAGCCGGCCGAGCCTGGTTAGGT